TGGAGATCAACAAATTTGAATTCCCTTTGCTGGTTCTGCAGTTATACTGAAGAGTGCCAAAGTCCTCAAACAGTTGATTTGAGCTCTGGGAGCAGATGGGAGAGGATAAAGGGCCATAGCTGATTCCTATTAAAGCCAGAGGTAAAACTCCCATTGCAGTAAGCCAGCCTCAAGGTGACAAAGGTGTAGATCACACTAGCAAGGTCCACATTCAAAAGAAATGGTCGCAATCTTCTGGCTAGGTGCAGATGGAAAATATATTCCTTGTGTCTTCTGCTATATGATCCTTTAGCAGCAGCTGTGGATATAACAGTATCCCTAGTTTGTGAAACTGAAACAGATGGCAGGCACCACATCATTAATGGGAGGAATCCTTGCAGTACCAGATTAGTTGGTTCACCTATTTTGGCATCCTGCTTGCAGCAGTTGCCATATCTGATATTTCAGAGGAATTACCTTTTGCTCCCACCTCAGTTGTACAGTGCTGAAGCAGGGGAACTCCATTCTTACCTCTGAAGCTTCCTCCCTGATGTATGAGATGTGATTTCTCTCATCACTTTACATTGGACCTTGTATTACTGCAATCAGTGAGGATTTTGCTGTTCATTTTAATAAGAGCAAGATCAAGCCTATTGTTAGTGGTCGTGAAATTATCCAGTTATATCATAAAATACTTGTTTAATTTTAAAATACAGCTACAATATTTACCTCAATGACAATGAGTTTCATAGGCTGAACATGTGCCCTGTAAAGTAGAAGTTCCTTAGAATAAACAAAAATTATTGCAATATAATCTAGGTTAGTGGATTATACTACTATTTTTAATTGATTTATCAAAGTATGTGCAGCATTTTAAGGACAAATAAATGAAAGTAAGGTATTCATTTTAAATAACTTTTTTCTCTGTAAAATGCAGAGAATACTTGCATACTTACAAGGATGTTGGGAGGCTTAATCAGTTTGAAAATTGCTATATAGTATAAAAAAATTGTTCATATGAGCCTGATTTGGAGTCATTGCTTTGATCCCTTTTCAGTTTATGCACCTTCAGGAAACTTGGGAAAAGCAGCTGAAAAACCAAGCAGCAAAGAGAAAGAAAGGAGCTCATCAGATTCTGGGTCCAAAGAAGGAGCTGATAAAAGGAAACGTAACAGAGTCACTGAAAAGGTCTTAAATGCAAACAGCAATCCCTCCAGTCCAAGTGCTGCAAAACGGCGCAGAACATAGAGAATACAGTGAAAGACAGGTGCTTTTAACTATAGAACCAGGGAAGGGAACAGTAGAATGGAATAGGAGAGAAAGGAAGTTGTTATAAAGATTTGTTAGGTGGAGAAAAAACTATTTGACCCAGATATTAAAAGCTTCAGCACATTGTCATTATGTGTGGACATGGGTTTGTGTGTCTTCTCTTGTAACGAATTGCTTGCTGGTCAGTATTGCATAGCTAATCGATGGCTACGTTCTCAGGATACTGCAGGAGAGTTGGCAGCTTTACAAGCAAGTGTGTACTACTTAACAAGTCAAGTGGTGGCATTTTAAAATATTAGTAATGCGCGCGCACACACACACTGTGTTAACACAGTTTGTGAAATAAGCTCTTGGCGGAACAGGAGCCTCAGTTTTTGAAAAGCTTACGTCATTTATTTAAAGTTTGGATCCCTTTCCGGTCTTATTTGTATTGCTTTCTTTGGTGCCTATTATGGCCCCTTGGTGGGTTACTGTTCTTAGGACATTTTACTAGTAACATGTTATAGCAAGAACACCTTTTTCTATTAAATGTCTGGCTTTGTTGGTCCAGTAAAACTAAAAGCTAGCACATTAAATACAGATCTAAGGTGAAGCATTCTTTGTTACTGTTCTGTTTGACTGAGGGGAAAAGTAAACCCTCTGTCTCATGGAGACTTAGTGTGGTATAATTTATTTTTCAACCTTTAAGTACATACTGTAAATAAAGGAAGATGTTAAATGTTTCTAGACAGAAGTCTTCATAAGTGGCTTAAACTAACATGTCCAGTAGTGCCACATGGTATGAAAGGGATCCACTGCGCTATGCAAGAACCTGGAGATACTGCCTCATCCAGTTGTACTGTAACAGTGTATATAACAGTTGGTTTTGTATTTCAGTATTTAAGTCAATTTTTTTTAAAAAGCTATTTTTACAAAGGGCTGTTAAATGGAAATAATATTGTAAAACCTTCATCTTGTGCTGTTATTGTACTTTCCTGGAGTAGTTGTCGTTCACTCTTACTGGTATTTTGAAACTTGTTTCAGTCTTATATGCTAGAGTATTGAGAATTGGTAGCCGTTACTATTTTTTTGAATTGCCAGAAAATGATCGATTCCCCCATTTTCTCCCTTCCCGCTTCCTGACATACTGATTTTAACAAGTGCATGTTAAACTGCTGAATGAAGCAGTCTGAAATGTTATTGGGTTATATCGTCACAGTATTAACTTTACTGTTAAATAAAAAAATAGCCCAACACTTTTGTCATGCAGCATTGTCATCTACTTGAAGAAGTGTGAATCTAATAGTTTGGCTCATTGTGTTTTATTAGTTGATCATTGTGAAAACTAGCTAAAAAAACAGGCTTAGGACTATTTTTTAAAAGATATGTAGGCTCCTAAAGATGCTGATAGGGGCCTAGTAGGACTTTCAGAAATGTCTCTGTGTTGGAAATTGTGGATCCTCCTCCCTTTCCCCTGTTTTAAACAACGGAGAAATGGATGTGGCTTGTTTTGGTTAAACAGTGGCACCAATAACTGGTATGTGGTCCTGTACAAAACGTCTTTGCCTTTGCAATTGGCTCATCCATGGATCTCAGTAGAGCTCTGGCAATCTGTGTTCATTTGGTTTACTGCTGCTTAAACAGGCTGCAGAGACAGCACATCACATGCTTTGCTAGCCTTTGCCCATCATTTGTGTTTAAGTGACTACATGGTAGATATAAAATCCAGAGCATATGCCTTAATCATGAGGCTATTTTAATAACCTCTTAGTTTCTAGACCTCTACTCCCAAGTTTCTGCCCTCCTTTCTCAGATTCCTATGCCCAGCACAGGCAGCTGGACTGAAAAAACAAATCCTGCTGCTGTTCTTGCTCCAGGTCGATAAAGTTTCCTGCTAGAGGGTTTGCTAGAGGCCTGTCTTCTTCTGCTGGCCTTCACTACACCCCACGCTGGCCTCCACAGACAAGAGGGCTCATCCTGAAGAGAGAGGAGAGGGATCTGGCATAGGAAAAATGGAAGGGCACTCCCACGGTAGGGAGTGACAATAGAGATGTGTGTGTGGGGGGGGGAGGGGGAATATAGCTAAGGATGATGCCTGAGAAGCCTACTGCTTGCTCCCAGTCAAACCAGATGAGGTATAGCAGGCAGCTAGGTTTCCCCATGAGAAAAGCTGCAGGAAACTGGGGCCTGTTTAAGGGAAGGGGGGAGGAAGATGTGTGGTAGGGGGACTGGTGGGTGTATTCATAGATCAAGTAACCATCCAAACTTTGAGGGATCTCTCACTAGTGTTGTATAATAGGAATAATAATTTATACTTTTACAGTGTTTTCCATCTGAGGACCTCAAACCTCTCTATGAATATGTATTAATGTTAGGAAAGTATAATTATTGTCACTGTTCAAGTGGGGAAACTGAGGAACAGAATTTAAATGAAATACCTAATGTGTCACGTAAGACCAGCTTCACCCCTGATGCAGAACATGGCAGAGTCCACGAAGTCAAACTTCAACTGTGCGTAGATCGTGATGGCACAAAGAAGCAGGGCTTTCCCCTCCACTAGGCAGCACGCACAGCCCAAAGAAGTCTATATTACTTTTTAGGGGAGTGGGTGTTGTCAAGACAACTAGGGGATGCACTGAAGCACAAAAACCTGATGGAAGATGATGGTGGCAAAACCATGCAATCTTGTGGCCAATCCCTTTGGGGTGTTGTCATGTGCATTAACCACAAGGCTTTCCTTCCAAAAAAAGGTATTTTTGCTATGTTGATTGCAGGGTTTGCTAGCCCTTATGTTTTTGCAAAGCTGCGTGACTGACAGGACATCACCATGTGATGCAACATTTCACTGCAATCCCTGAGAGTGGGTGGAGGTGTAGGGTTTGCTGGATTTTCTGGGTTTTGCTTTTTTGATCTGGTAGAATAGATATTTAAGAGCAACCTGGAAACTACCCATTTTGAGGTTAATTCAAAATGGAAATCAGCCTTAAAAAATACCAAAATGTTCTGCGAGATTCCCTCTTCCCCCCACCTTCATGAAGCTCTGGCTTCTTTGCAACGTTGTCCCTTGATTTTTTCCCCCTTCAAACATGACGATGATTAAGTTAATCTGGTACCTCCTTACCCCTGATTCTGCAGAGAGGTACTCACGTGCTTACACTTATGCACTATTAAAGTCGAACAAACAGTTGTAGGATTGAATTTTACAGCTTCCTATTGCCCCCTGGCAGCGGGGCCAAAAAAGGTGGTGAGCGCTGGGGGGCCTCCTGGATGCCAGCTCTCTGCCATGGCCCCTGCACATCAAAAGAAAAATCACAGTGCAGTAGCCTACGCTAGGCATCCTCTATGGCGGACCCCCGAGCTGTCAGGCTGCCCTGCTTGCGGGAAAAGGCTCGCTCTCTCCGCGGGAAGGGGGTTTTCAGCCTGCGTGGGTCTGAGTCACTGACGTTTAACGATCAGCCTCGCCGCGAGCCGGTTTGGCGAGCGCCCCAGCCCGCCGCACCGCGCCAGCGGCTGGGCCGCTGCTGGAAAAGCCGCCGCAGAACGCGCCCCACGCCGGGAGCCCAGCGAGGGATGGAACGCGGAGACACCGCCAACGTTCCAGCGGCGCGCCTCGGCCAATGGCGAGGCCGGGCTGCAGGCAAGGGAGGCGGAGCCAGCTGGGCCGCACGCCTCCCGGAAGTCAATAAGGCCACTCACGTGGCTGGCTTTGTACCCTACCCCTCCCAGCTGCTAACACAGCGCCTCTTTCGGTTTCCTTTCCTAGCAGCCGGGGGCCCTGATGGCGGCTTGGATGAGCTTCAGGGGGCTGGAGGATGGCGAGGAGAGAGAGTGGGGCTCCTGGGAGTACGACTCCACCTGGGAAAGCGATGAGGAGGAGGAAGAAGGGAAGGAGTCGCAGGAGGCCCGAGCCGATGGAGAGGAAGAAGAGTCCTCGCAAGGGTGGTTCAGGGGCTCCCACCAGGCCAGCGGCGCACAGGTGACTCCTCCGAGTGGGCTTTCTGTATGTGACAGAGGGGGGCGACCTGGTAGGGAGGCTGGGGGTTATTTTGGCAGGGCGGTGGGAGAGGGGTTATTCCTCCAGTGTGCTCGCGGGAGTTGGGGGTGAGGAAGGAGCCCCTCAGTATCAGATCTGTGTATGTGGGGGAGAAATATTAATTTGCCTCTCCTTCCAAACTGCCTTTCTCCTGGCCCTGAAGGGTTAGTGGTAAACCGTCCCTCACTCCTTTTAAGCAAGCTATCTTCTGACTTCAAAAATTTCCACCAACTCCCTATTGTAAGGCAAATGTTTCTCTTCAGCTAAGTAGTTTTCCTCGACTTGGCATTACTGTTTGTTAAATGTGTTAGGAGCTGAGGTTGCATAGTTTATTCTGCAGCTTTGAAAGCTACAGCTTCCACGTGTTGTAATGTCACACGTACGTTGCTGCAGGGGTAACTGACCCACAGTGTCTTGGAGCCAATTCTGTATAGTTCAGTTTGTGAGCAGGAGCAGCTTGAAGTAGCTTCAGAGAGTTCCATGTTCCCCTCCTAATGGGATCACTAGCATATTATTTTGCCATGATCTTAATGAACCATATTTCCAAATGCCTCAAAGAAAGGGGGCACAAGCTCCCTACTAATGCATTTTGCAAGAGGTGGGTATTCAGGGCAGAGGTGTGCTGGTGAGGTTATGGCTCAATGGAAAAATTAAAATAAACATCTGTGGTGTTATGTTCCACTAAAGCTTCATGAAATTGCCACATGCTGTTTCTGAGTAGCTTTCCCAGCATTCCTGGTAAGCAGGATAATTTTGTTATAAATCAACTTTCCATCTTGTAGACTCAGTTGATTCCACTTCCCTGAGTCTATGATGGTGAATTCTGTTTTTTAACATCATAGTTCAGAATTGTTGACACTGAGCATCGTCTGTTGCTATAAATGCTCCACCCACTTTCTTTTTTTGGGAGGGGGACGTGACCTTTTATTGGTGGCCCTAAGGGATGTTACTCTTAAGATTATCAAGTACCATCAAGCGATGTTTCTTCGCTTTTAAGAATGAAATAAAATTTACTAGGTTTTTACAAAGCTACTTCAAGAAGGGGCGCTATATAGATCTGCAGTGAACCTGAAAAAGACCACCAGCTAATGTCCTACAACACTTTAAAAAAAATCCTTATGGGGCTGCAAAATGTGATTAACATTTTACAGCATCAGAGTTAAATAGTGTTGGATAACTATGTACTTTAAGTCTCTTGTAAAGTTTCTCACTGTCTTCATCAGTGAGTGTTAATAACAATCCCAGGATACTACTTAAACAGATCTTTTGCTTTGCTTTTTGTCTTTGTTTTAGGAAAGAGAAAATCAAAGCTCATTGCAGTCTTTTTTTCTCTAACTCCTCCTATCTTGGGGAATAGGAAACTAATCCTTGGGTTCAGTTTCACTTTGGTGACTCAGGTCAACACAATTTTAAGGTTAGGAGGTTGCACATCTTAGCTAATTCACTTTCTTAAAGGAAG